AGAAATAGGCGCGGGATTCGCGGGCGCGGAGAGTTAGTTTACCCTGAAGTAGTGCTGCCGCGCTGCCGCGCCCCCGTGCCGCTGTTGCTATGCGGGGGAGGCACCACGGCGGCTAGGCCGCGGGCGCTAAAAGTAAAAGTGACTGGCGGGGCTGTTCAAACCCCTCCTGCGGCGGCGGCGCGCCGATGGCCGCGCGGAGTCGGGCCGGGCTCTGCGGCCGCTGGAATAAAGACGGTATAATTATCATCGTGTGGTGCGTTTACGAGCGACGGGCGGCACGTAGCTTAGCACGTAGCGTAAGCACGTTCACTCGCGTGCGTGCGTGCGCGGAGCACATACGCGCCTTGTTGGTGAGTGAGTGCAGTGAACACGAAGGTAAACACGGCAGTATTGCTCTCTAGGGGGACAATGCGCGGCCCAGCTGGGCTGGGGGTATAAAGATGAAAGTGGCGGCCTGCCCCGCCCCGCTCCCTGCCCAGCGCGCCACACGCTCGCGTCCTTTGCGTGTTGAATGGCCAATCGTCGCGCGATAGAAGGCTCACTACTTTGACTTTTATTCTGATCAAACACTCTCGGGAGCAGTCAGGGTAGCCGGCGGCGCGGTGGACTCCGCGAGCTCAAGCTACTGCATTGTGTCTGGTCTTTGGGGGAGAGGGGCTACAGAGATATGAGCTCCATTACTCACGGGGGTTGGTCGCACCCGTCCCTCCCGCCCTTCTCCTGAAGACGAATCCTACTGGTCCACGGGTATATCGGTCAGCGTCACGAGGTGCTGCCGGGGGCTGGTGGTCGGGATCTGGCGGAGGCTGCACCAGACACAAAGCACGGCAAACCCAAGTGAGATATGTGCAGGTTGCAGTGTGCAAAATTTGCAGGGCATATTCGCACATCTTTTAACTGTGTACCGGGTGTATCTTTGAATGCGCGCTCCGGTGTTATGACTGCATGCTGGGATCGTCCAGAAAGTACGTCCGTTTTCCACTGCTTCATTTCGGCAAATTACGAGAGCTTGGCGCCTGCGAGACTCGGGGTAGGCCACCCCGCCGTACGCGCATGCACTACATGCAAGATGTTGCCTACATCCCAGGCGTTATGAAAGCTTGCAGAGGCTGAACTTAGCAGGTTCGTCACGGCAACTGACGGGCGTACTTTATGGACGATCCATTACTCGGAAGGGGCATTCAAAGATACACCCGATACAAGTAGTGTGTGATTGGGAGTTCACACACTTATACACTTCGCATTCGCACACTACTTAAGTTCCTAGTTTGATGATGATGTTCTTAAATTTGAGAGACCGAGGACCAAACTCGCAATGCGATCACAGGAGGCGCTACTGGACTACCTCTCCCCCTTCTCCCACCTCCCACCCTGATGAGGTATGCTCAAAACACTCCTTACATGTGCAACAACGACCAACGACTACCCCCCCCCCCTCCTAAAAAGCAAACAGGGTGTGCTATCGGCGCGCGCGTGGGCCGGGCCAGGCAACCCGTGTGGGTCGAATTAATTCACACATCGAGGGAAATGTCGTCGTTATCTCGCCGGTCCGGTCGTGTCGCCAAGGGGCCGCAGGGGAGCGGCCCGAGAGAGTGTGTTCCCTCTCGCTGTTATTGGCGACATTAGGCGCGAGTGTTTCTTTTTATTTATTTCGCACTCTGCGCCCGAGAACGCGACGATAGTCGAATTAAAGGAGTCGTCATTGTCGTCGTATATTTAGACACGCTGCCGTTGCGTGGGCGATATGTTCCTCCTGCTGCCGCCGCTTTGCGAGCGGACGATCTCCGTCTCTCAAGGGTCTTCCTCTTCATCACCATCATGACCAGGTCGCCGTCAAACGCACCGCCGCCACATAAAGCTGAAGTAGGCGAGCCGTTTAACTGGCGGCTGCAGGCCGGCAGGCTGCAACCAGGCGGCCCTGCGCCTCCGCGCCTGACCCCGAAGCCACACAGAATGCACTGCGGTGCCGCGGTGCTGGCCGAAACTTTTATTTCACCCTCTCATTCAAGGGGTGGGTGCGCGCACGGGCAAATATAGCAGCCATAGCACTCAATGCGCTCGCGCGGGTGGGAACCCCGCCGCAGGCGCCTCGGCCGTCTCCAGCACCTCCAGGGGCTGCAGGGGCTGCAGGGGCTGCAGGGACTCCAGGAGCCACCCCTTTTATCTCCAGGCGCCGCTCCAGCCGCGCTCAGTCAGACGGAACGGAAGTCGCCGGTCTGCATCCTCCCGGCTCGGGCTCTCCCCGCCGCCGCCGCCGCCGCCGCGGTCCCGGCGTCTCGATGGTTGTTGTTTCCCGTTTGGCGGGATAGAGGGG